CCACATATGATTCCTCTTTCTGTTCCTACAATTACCCACATAGTGAGGCAGTCAATAAACAGGCAACAAAATGGTGTGGTTGTAGGGTCAAGTTCATTGCAAAGGCTAAAAATGGGAACTTTCATTCAGTTACAGTTCAGTGTCCTTATTTATAATTTCTAAGAACTATAGGCAAAATAAATTTTAGGAATCTGAAGCCCTCTTCTGACCTCCATGGCATTGCACAACATGGGTGCACTCACATACATGCAGGCCATACACTCATACACATAAAAATAATGAAATTTTTTTTTAAAAAGACAATTTCTTTATGACTTATGAATATTAATCAATGTAACCCGATACAGAAAAATCTAGCTCCTGTCTATGAAACAGAGAGGGGCTGGACCAACCCAATCAACCCTAAATATCACTCAAGTAACAACTGAATCTAAGCAGTTTTTCTACTAGTTGGCGATTTATTTTTATTCATATGATTTCTGTGGTAATAATTACTAGGAGGGAAAGCAGGTATGAAAAATTTACCCAGATGCTTCTTTTTTAAAAATTCAGGGAAATATAAAGAAATTGATACTCAACATTGAACTTCTAAAAATTAGTAGGTATTGCATTATCAGAAAGCACATTGGAAAGAGGTCCAACAACATGTATCAAAAGTCTGCCATCAAAACATCAAGTTAGAAACTTAGACACACACACACACACACACACACACATACACACACACACACACACACCAATAGTCAGGAAGGTGTGAGATAAGGCTCACCCCTTCAGGGTCTCCACTTATAGCACTCAAAACAGCTTTATCTCTGCCTCTTGGACAGGGACATTATGAATCATTATGTGATTACAGAACTGGAGGGAAGTCAGACATGCCGTTAAACAAGAAATGTGCTAAGGAAAAAAATCATATGGAAATACTCCAAGAGCAAGTTATTTTACTGTCTTTTGTTTCTTGGGAAAGCTGGCTTGGGTACTAAAAGCAGGAAAAATTAAATGAGCAGCTCAAAACAAAGGGATCACTGTGTCACATGAACCCAGCCTGGGAAGGAGAGAATTGAGTTCTGGCTGAAGGAGGCCACAAATCAGCTTTTGATCTTGCACACACCAGGTAATGAATAACCAGGGGCTTCAGTTTCCTCATGTCTAAGGGAGCTGGAGAATATCACAGAGATATTCCTCCCAGCTAGAACAGAGCACTGAAAACTCAGAATTATAAACATGCTCCTGTCTCATATAAACAACAAAGAACCCCAAACTGTAATCCTGCTTCCCGTCAGCCTATTGTAAATTATATTCATGCCTGTGATATTTAAGTGGCCATCCCTTAATGAAAGGCCATAAAATCAGAACTATCTTAAAAGAACTGAGCTACAAAAGAAACTTTCCCTGTCTTCTACACTCAAGCTATCAAATTTCAAATTATAATAGAATTGTATTACTTTGTCAAAAGACAAAGATGAACAGAGAAGAGGCTAAGCATCATGCCCAACCAGTCACAGCAGATGTGGCTTTGCTAGGGCAAGAAAGTCCTCAGAAGGAAGGATTTAGCATGGACATGGTCAACCACTCTGATGAAAATTATATCTGAAGCTGTAATTTATATTTTTAACACTTTAAAAATATTTTATTTTAGGACGGGTGTGGTGGTACATGCCTTTAGTCCCAGCACTGGGAGGCAGAGGCAGGCGGATCTTCGTGAGTTCAAGGCTAGCCTGGTCTATATCATGAATTCCAGGAGAGCTGGGGCTACAGGGAAACCCCGACTCAAAACGACAAAAAAAAATTATTTTATGTATATGAGTATATTGCCTATGTGTCTTGCAATGCTTGCAGAGGTCAGAAGAAAGCACTAAATTCCCCCGGAACTAGAGTTACAGATGGTTGTTAGCCACAATATGGGTACTAGAAATTGAACCTAGGTCCTCTGCAAGTGCAGCCAGTACTCTTAACCGCTGAGCCATCTCTCCAGCCCTCTACATTTTTAACTCTTAAAAGTATTAATTACAGGGGCTGGAGAGATGGCTCAGCGGTTAAGAGCACTGACTACTCTTGCAGAGGAACCAGGTTCAATTCCCAGCACCCACATGGTGGCTACGAACTATCCTTAACTCCAGTTCCAGGGGACTCCAAAGCCCTCTTCTGACCTCCGCGGCATTGCACAACACGGGTGCACTCACACACATGCTGGCAATACACTCATACACATAAAATAAAAATAGTATTTTTTTTTAAAAAGTATTAATTACAAAGCTCAGACAGCAGCACATATACTAAAATTGGAACGATAGAGAGATTATTTGCATGGCACCTGGGGAAGGACAACACACAAATTAATGAAGCGCTCCATATATATATTTTTTTAATTTGTAACTGGGTATAGTATTGCACACCTATCATCCCAGCACTCAAGAGGTCAGCTTGGAACACATAGCAAGACCCTGTCTCAAAAGTAAACAGCTTTTTAAAAAAAGAGCAAAATTTAATGTTTAGAAAAGCAGAAATCCAGGCTGGAGAGATGGCTCAGAGGTTAAAAACACTGGCTGTTCTTACAGAAGACCCAGGTTCAAATCCCAGCACCCACATGGCAGCAACTCCAGTTCCAGGGGATCCAACAGCCTCTTCCATCCTCCAAGGGCATTGCATAACATGGGTGCACTTATCTACATGCAGGCAATACACACATACACATTAAATAAAAGTAATAAATAAAAAGAAAAGCAGAAATCCTATAGTAAAGTAAAAGACATTAATTTCTGGATGACTGGATTTTCATGACTAAATGATCCTGTTCAACCCTAAATGATTTTAAAGTCAGAAAAATCAAGATTAAAGCTTGCCATAGAGAATAGGGTTTCAGCAGCAGAACACAACAATCACATATTACCTCCTTATCCTTCATGGATCCACTGATATCTTCTCGCACCTCCACATGTGAGGCTACCAAGTGAACAGCACACTGTAAGACTGTACAGCTCACTTGACTGGTGAGGTTTGTTTGTTTTATTTAATGTTTTATTTAATGTTGCAGAATTTTTATTCCTGCAAACCACCACTGAAGAATTCTTTAATTTATAAGGCTATCCTTCTGTATCTTTAGTTAGTTTTTAGTTTGTTTTAGTTAGTTTTACCACATACACTAAATTCATGAAAACACAAACTTTGGGTGCTATAGAAAGTGTGTCAAGGTAAAATAATTTTCATGGGGACCCTTATGGTTTTTTTCAGTTATAATCAAAGCAAAATATATTTCGCTTAATTTGTCAATGGAAAGAGAAGTTGAGATGTCAAGAGATCTTAGCACATGTTTCCTTCCTAACAAGATGCTGAATTCACATCAGTGAAGTAACTGATCACAATTGGATGCCTCAGCACAGACACTGGCATGGTACTACAACCAGTCACAGGAATGGCTCCAAGTAACTCTAGGACACTAAGGTCTGTTTGCTCTAGAAGAGAATAAGGAGCACACTGATGTCCACAATGTACCATTTGTCTCTGCCTTTCTCTTTTCCAAATCCTTGCAACATCACAAGCCCAGCTGTCAGCCAGATGCAAGCACATGAGCCACAGAGTGTGAGAATAAAAATATTAGTATTATTTCCATGGAACTAGTCACATGGTGACTAGAAATAATCAACATTAGCATACTACAGTATTTGTTTGGTTCTTGAATGTTGTAATACCCTGTGGGGGAAAATTATCTTTATTTGAAAAAGGTTAAAAATCAAGTGCATGTTACATCTCTTTGCTGGAAAACTGTGGGAAATGGACTTGTTGAAACCATGTGGATAAAAAGGAGGAATGAAGGAGAAACAGAAATCTAATAAATGGAAAATATCTCCAAATGAAATGCTTGTGGTAAGTTAATTTCTTGTAAACACTACACTCAAGCCCCTTGAATAGTCCCAAATGGTGAGCTAACTTCGTGGTCTTAAAATGAAAATCAAACACACTAAAGTGACTACAACTTTATTACTGAAGTCGTGGGAAACAGGAGAGCTACAACTGACCAACCTGTTAGTTTTTATTCTTTTGAAAACTTTAAGAGAATTGTGGAATCTTACTAAATAGACAATTTTAGCTAAAATTTTTTATGTATGCTAAAAGGAGAAATAAAAACATGAATAATAATGTTCCAGCTAAAAGTAAGGTGAAATCTATAGTTACTAATATAAAAATATTTATAAAAATTCTATAGTTCTGAAATATACTGAAAGGTCTAATATCTAAATTACCATGAATTCTGTTTAGTTGACATCTGTAAAATATTCCAAGGAAAATTCAAAACCCTTTTTTAAGTTGCTCTACAAATAAATCTTGTGATTTATGGGTTAGCCAAAACTGGCACCTGCAGGAACAGCCTTACCTGCTGCACTGTTAACAGCCCATCAGAAGCTGCTGGCACGGGCCGCATAGGGAGCAGCTGGCACAGTGTGCCCAGAAGTAAAGCGACCTCCTTCATACTCCTCCAGCAGCACACCAGGACCATCTGAGCAGTTACATCACGTGTTTTTCTTTCTTTACCTTAAGAAACAAAACAAAAATGATTGCGAAACTCCACATTCGAGTCCTCACATGCCAGGTTCATTACAACAAGCTTAGGCAAATTTCTCCAAGAATGATCAGTTTGAACAAACCAATTTGTCACATATTCTGTTTATTCAATAGGAAAAAAAAGAAAAAAAGAAAAAAAAAAACTAACATTTGAAGAGCATGTGCTATGAGGAGGAAACATGCCATTTAAAAAAATTTTTTAATTTTCATTTTTATCTGTATGAGTGTTTTGCCTATAGTAAGTGTGCCCACACATGCAATGCCTAAGAGGCAAAAAGAGGATGGCAGATCCCCAGAAACTAGAATTAAGAACAGTTGTTAGCCACCATGGCTGGAAACCAAACCAGGGTCTTCTACAAGAGAAGTCAAGGCTCTTAAACACTGAGGCATCTCTTCAGCTTCAAATTTCTTATTCTTTAAAAGTTTCAAATGAAGCCAGGCCAGGCGTGGTGGCGCACGCCTTTAATCCCAGCACTTGGGAGGCAGAGGCAGGCGGATCTTTGTGAGTTCGAGGCCAGCCTGGTCTACATGGGGAGTCCAAGGACAGCTGGATCTACAAGGAGCCCCGGTCTAAAAAAAAAAAAAAAAAAAAAAAAAAAGAAAAGAAAAATGAAGCCATGTATGGTGGTATATTCCTTTAATCCCAGAGGCCTGTGGATCCCTGTAAATTCAAGGTCACACAGGTCTACATAGCTGGTTCCAGGATAGCCAGAGATATATAGTAGGACATTGTCTCAAGACCCAAATATGAGCAAATGCAATTTCAGCCACCTGATATTTGACAAAGGGGCCAAGAGCATTACCTGGAGGAAAGACAGCATGTTCAACAAATGGTGCTGGCAAAACTGGATCTCCAATTGTAGAAGAAAGAAATTAAACCCCTATCTTTCACTCTGCACAAAAGTCAATTCCAAATGGATCAAAGACCACAATGTAAAGCCTGAAACACTGAAACTATTAGAAGAAAACGTTGGGAAAAATCTACAAGATATAGGCATAGGAAAGGATGTTCTAAACTGGACATCAATTGCTCAGGAAACAAGGGCAAGAATTAACAAATGGTACCTCATTAAACTAAAAAGCTTCTGTACATCAAACCAAGACAACCAAGGAAGCAAACAGAAAGCCCACAGAATGGGAGAAAATCTTCAGAGACACATCCAACAGAGGTTTAATAACCAGAATTTATCACAAACTCAAAAAACAGAGAACCAAGACAAGAAGCAACCCAATTAAAGGATGGACTAAGGAGCTGAACAGATAGTTCTCAAAAGAAGTAAAGATGGCTATGAAACATCTTAAAAGATGTTCAACATCACTAATAATTAGGGAAATGCAAATTAATACCACTTTAAGATTTCGCCTTACCCCAGTCAGACTGGCTAAGATCAAGAAAACAAATGATACCAAATGTTGGAGAGGATGTGGGGGAAAAGGGAACACTCATCCACTGCTAGTGGGGCTGCAAACTGGTCCGACCCCTATGGAAAGCAGTGTGGAGAACTCTTAAAAAACTACAAATGAACCTACCATTTGACCCAGTTATACCACTCCTTGGCATACACCCAAAGAAATCATCCTATTGCAGACACATGTACATCCATGTTTGTTGCTGCTCTTTTCACAATAGTTAAGAGATGGAAGCAACCTAAGTGTCCCTCAATTGACGAGTGGATAATGAAAATATGGTTCATTTATATGATGGAATTTTACTCAGCAGTAAAGAAAGATGAAATCATGAAATTTGCAGGTAAATGGATGGAACTAGAAACTGTTATACTAAGTGAAGTAACACAGACTCAGAAAAAAAATCAACATATGTTCTCCCTCATATGTGGATCCTAGAACCATACTCTGATATATAAGTATGCAACCAGACATAAGTACAGGAACAGAATAATGGAAAGGAAACAGGGAGATAAAGAAAAAGAAATAACCTGAAAGAGAAGAACAGTAGGAAACAAGTCTTAATAAGGGAGATATGGATAAAAAGTGGGTTAGTTTAAGGGATGGGGAGGGAAGGATACACAAGGAACCTAGGGGATAAAGGGAAAGGAGCTCAAGAGAGGTAGGACCATAGGAGAAGGGTATTAGTAAGGGAGAAAGGGGGGAAATGGGGGCACCTTAAGTGGGAAAACCATGATGGAGGGGTGAGACAATGTGAGAGATAAACAATGCCTAATGCCTAGCTAAAACCAGAGAGAACCCTATTACTCCTACAACCTACTGACAAATTATACACAGCAGATCAAGAAATATATGTCTAGGTAAGGTTTATCTGAGAACAACTGATCTTTGCCCAAGATTTATCATTTATCTA